TGGACTAGCGCTGGTGACTTAACAGGATAGCACACACAGTGCTCACTCTTTGCCAACTTACACTGTGCAGAAAGAGAGCCAGCAAATAAATATGGGTATGACATATATCTGAAGGTGAGTGGTTAAGTCCTATGAGGAAGAATAAGGAAGTGTAGTCAGGATAGGGTATGTGTTATTGTGGAAAAGTAGTTGAGGGATGAGGATGACCAGATAGGAAACAGTTTGAGGGGACACAGAGGCCAGATCATGTAGCATCTTATTGGCCACGAGAACTCTAGAATGCATGGTGGTCCCTTAATCCATAGTGGATACGTTTTTGAAATTCCCTTAAGATGCTTGGAAAACTGCACAGTCCTGAACTCTAGAGATAGGATCCTTCATACACATGTAGGTAAAGTCTGACTCATAAGTTAGGCCCAATAAGAGAATAACAACTTAGATAATAAAATCAAGCAACAGTAAATGTATCGTGATACCCAACAAAGGGATGATTTGTGTCTTGAGCAGCATGAGGCAGGATGGTAGGAGATTTTATCATGTCATGCAGTTAAAATTTTTATGAATTAAAATTTATTTCTGGAATTTCTCATTGAATTTTTTTGGATTGCAGTTGACCTTGGGCAACTAAAATTTTAAGGACTAGAATAATCGAGAAGGTGAAGGAGCTTTCTTGTGTTCAGAATAGACTGTGAAGTCTTTGGAGGGCTTTGACTTAAGGATGCCACTGCCATAGCTTTACTTTAAAAAGAACCATCCTGTGTTTACTGCTCTAGAGGCAGTGGGACTTGAGACTGGAGCTGATAAACGAGGCAGACCAAACCGTCATGCAATAGCTAACTTTATTTGGAGCATCAGACAAAGGGTTAACAAGAGTCACATGACTGGAGGGTACGGTCACCAGCTGCACGTGGCAAGAACATGAGTCTCCATGGAGGAATATCAACATTAACAATAGCCAGTTGTAATGAATAGTCCGAAGTAAACTCATTCCTATCGTCTATGTCTGGGAGGGCTGTGAAAGCACATCCCAAGAACAATTTCATGTTTGAGAAGAAACTGAGACCACACAACTCTTACCTTGGTTTCTTGTAGGAGTTTTTTCACAAGCACTCACAATATTACTCTCAGGACTGCTTTCTTGGACCGCGTTCTGACAATTTGGACTCCTGGAAAATTGACTGCAGGAGGCTGAGGCCAGAATCAATGGCTAGCATGCCGGCTGGTGTGATTTGAAAGAAATGCGGGAGAAGAGATGAAAGGGAGGCACAGAGAACATATGGACCCTTTCCCACAATGCACCAGCCATGCCACCTCAATGGGCATCTGCTTGCCCCCAGCAATGCTGTGCCATGCTCCTGATTCTTGTTGGAAATCCAGGAAGCATGGCACAGACTCCCCCATACTTGATATGTTGAGAGAATGATGGGCCTTTGCACAAGGGTGGCTTACCCTTAAGAATTCTGCCTCGTCTCCCTCCATTAATTTGCTTAGAAGCCAGATTCTCCTGCAGGGCTATGAGCTGTCCTTCAGGAAGGACTCTTTTGCTAGGCTAATCTATTTAAATGCTAGAAAAAAAAGTAGAAAAGGGACTGAGAAGATTCTCTCTGCTCTTGACTGAGCTTTAGATTCTACAGTTTTGTATGAATACCAGAGGATGAATGAGATCTGTTTTCTTCTCCTTTGGCATGATTATTTTATTTACTGTACTCTCAAAAGGATTTATTCTTCTTTAAACGTGTATGTGTGTTTTTCCAACATGTATTTCAGTGCCACTATACAGGTATCTGATGCCTGTGGAGATCAGATTAAGGGCATCAACTCCTCTGGAAACAGTGACTGGGGATTGAACTCTGGTTGTCAAGTTTGGCAGCAGGTGTTCTTCTCATCAGCTGAGCCATCTCGCTGGCCCACTTTCGATTCTTATGTTTCATCTCTGTGATGCCATGACTTCTCTGCTTCCTATGTCACTCAGGAGAGATTCATGGAACCAAAATCAGGTCCTCTGCAAGAGTAGTATACACTTGACCATTGAACTATCTCTCTAACCCTTAGAATTCTTGTATTAGCATTCTAGTTTTCCTCTCTACAGAATGGTCCATTAACTGTGGAAGAAGGCCATTTAAAAGAGGCAGCAACAGACAAAGCAAGCACAAGCTGGTGTGGTAGAATCCACCTATAATTGTAGCACTTGGGAGTGGGAGGCTGGACAATGAGCAGTCAAGGCCAGTCTCTGCCACACAAGATCACAGCAAAACAAAAAGAAACAAGAAGCTCTACCCCCAAATCCAATGTTCAAACAAAGAAAGCTCCCCCAAGCCCCCTCCCCCCAGCATACTGCTCACCATTGTCCTTGACTGAAGATCATTAGCTGTAAGATTTTAATCCTTTGAAATTTACTATAGACCACAGGACCAGGTATGATTTATTTTCACAAATTTCCAATCTTAATTCAAAAGTACCTGTTCTTTGGTTCTTGAGTGATTTAGATAGTTAATAAGGTTTAGAGCTTATTAACTATTGATATAAGCTATATCTTTCATATCTACTGATTTTATGTCTGCATTGAGAAACATTAAAGTATTAAAATCTCTAACAATGATTCTTTTTCTTTTAGCTTCATCCTTTTGCTTAAGATGCATTTTGGATTTATGAGATCTAGGACATAGAAGCTACATCTTCTTGGTAATTTTGTTTTTGGTATTTATGTCTGTTGCAGTGTTTGCACTACTTATCATGGGTATAGCCATTTGTATGATATATCTTTCCTGCCTTTGCACTTTGAATGTGTGGATTTCTTCATGTTTTAGTTGAGCCTTTTAGGAGCAGGCTATAGTTGTATTGTCTTTGATTTCTGTCTTTTGATTGGGTTTCAGTTGATTTACATTCAATGTGATTATAGGTATACTATAATCAGCGTTTACTTTGAATACATTTCACTTTTTTCCTGATTTGCCTTTGTTTACATAAGCTAAAACAGTCACATGTTTTGTTCTCTAATGGGTTATGATCCACATATTCTTTTACAACAACTCAGTCTTAACTTAGACATGGAAACAAACATTCTCGATATTTTAAATCCAGCATACACGATGGTATCACTTCCTAGACACGGTGGACCCGATAGCATCCCGCTCCCGTTAGCCCCTCATTAATAGCTTATTTGCGAGTGTGCATTTTGACTCTACATGTGCATAAAGCCCTGTGGGACTGCTGCTGCTCCTGTGATCTTGTCTATGCCTGTTTAGAGTCACCTGTGGATCCCCATCTGCCAGCTCTTCGTTTTCTCCTAGGTTTTGAGTTTTTGACTAAGCTAGTTTTTCTTTTGAGAAAACAGTTTTCTACTGAGTTTAAATTGGGTTGCTACTGTAATTTCTTTTGTTTTGTTTGATAATATCTTTATATTTGCAAAACTTATTTTGTCTGAACATAGAATTCTAGATTATCATTTATTTCCTTTCAATATTTAAAACTATTGCTTCAGTGACTTCTGGAACCCACTGTTTCTCCTGAGAAACAAGGTGCTCCTCCAGCACTCTGAACCCAAATGCTTTTTAGACTGTGGCTTGGTTTTTGCGTGGCCTTACTGCAAAGAGGAACTTTTCTGTAATGTTCTCCTTCTGGGTGCTTATAGCATCTTCTCGGCCAGCAGGTTGCTGTGTCATTTGTGGGAATTCTTTGCCAGTTCCCTCCCCAGTCCCCTGTTATTTCTCCTCCTCCTCCTCCTCCTCCTCCTCCTCCTCCTCCTCCTCCTGCTCTTCTTCCTCTTCTTCCTCCTCTTCCTCCTCCTCCTCCTTTGAATTTTTCTATATTTTTTCTGTTCTTTCTTTCCCTTTTCCTCCTTTTTGCATGTTCTCTTCTTCATTTAAGTCTGGGTATCCTACTTTAATATTCTTTACTTTACAAATTCTTTTTAAAGGTAAACCCACTGAAGACAGTTTCTACCTTTAGAATTCTCACTTGCTTCTCTAAAAAAAATTCATGGCACCTATATTTTCAGCTCTTAACCAGAATTTCTTATGTCTTTCATTTTGTTTTGAAAACATATTACTGAATATAAACAAGATCCTTGAAAGAATAATCTTAAAGACATTAAGTATAGTTCTCTTGAATTTAACTTCTATTAATCACCTTTCTTCTAGTTTAGTTTTATCATTTTCCCTGAGGTTCATGAGAACTCATTTCTCTCTATTTGCCTGGTTATTTATGTATTTGTGTGAATTAAATGTAAGTATGTTTCTACTTTAAACAACTTAAGGGTACAACTCAGTGTAATTCACAGTGTGGTATAGGCACCACCCAGACAAGTGAAAGCTTTCTATTTAGCAGTGACCCTCCCTTTCCTCAGCCACAGGTAACCTGGATCTGCTTTCCGTCTGTCTGTACTTGCCTATTCTTGATAAGGAATTTAAGGAGAGTCGTACAGAATTTGTTGCTTTGTACCTGACTCGTACCATGTGGTATATTTTCAGGGCCCTTCAATGCTAACGCAGGGATCAGGACCTCATCTCTCATAGGGCCTGAGACTGCATGGTATTTTTATTCTTCTGTTTTGCTCAGCCATTCACTTGTTGCAAGATATCTGGGTAGTTTCCATCTTTTAGTTATTATCAATAATGCAATTATGAATAATAATATTCACATTTTCATGAACAATATTCACATTAATCATGCATTCATTATTCATTATGAGTAATATTCATAATATTCAGTAGGATATATGTGTATGTTTGAGTCCCTGTTTTCATTTTGAGGGCCATGTACATAGGAGTGGACTGACTGAATCACACAGTAATTCTATATTTAAGTACTTCAGGAACAGGAAAATAAATTTGTAGCATTTACTTTTCTATTAGAAATTTAAGGGCCCTCCACTGGCTGCTCCGAAAAGCCATCTTTGCATTGTTCCCGGGTCGTGCTCTGCAGCGCTCACTGCAGCCACCTTCGCTGCCCACCGCCTCCTGCAACGCGGACTCCGGCAGCTTTCTCGCCAGAGTCCTCGAACTCCATTAATTCCTCACTCGCTGCTGCATCGGACCACCGGCGTGCCCCACCATGTCAGACGCGGCAGTGGACACCAGCTCCGAGATCACCACCAAGGACTTGAAGGAGAAGAAGGAAGTTGTGGAGGAGGCAGAGAATGGAAGAGATGCACCTGCCAATGGGAACGCTCAAAATGAGGAAAATGGGGAGCAGGAGGCTGACAATGAGGTAGATGAAGAAGAGGAAGAAGGTGGGGAGGAAGAGGAGGAGGAGGAAGAAGGTGACGGTGAGTAGTCCTGTTTTCTCAGGTTCCTTCCCTGGCTTTTACTGCCAGAAGGGAGAGGTGGGGCTTCTGGGCAAGTGGACCACTTTGCATTGCAGTGTACTCGACCCTCCTGTTGACAGTTCTTTCATGTTTGAGAATTGTTGATCTGCCCGACCTGTCTCTTCTTGGCTGGGAGACAAGACGGTTCAGGGCCAATGGTGGCAGCCATAATTGGAGGGCAGTGGTTTATGTGGTCCTTGATTCTCTCCAGGTGAGGAAGAGGATGGAGATGAAGATGAGGAGGCTGAGGCTCCTACGGGCAAGCGGGTAGCTGAGGATGATGAGGATGATGATGTTGACGCCAAGAAGCAGAAGACTGAGGAGGATGACTAGACAGCAAAAGGAAAAGCTAACCTTACGCACTGTGACCTATTCACCCTCCACTTCCTGTCTCAGAATTTAAACGTGGTCACCTTCGAGTAGAGAAGCAGGCCCCGCCCACAGCGGGCAGTGCCATCCACAGATGACACGCTCTCCACCACCCCTCCAAAACCACAACATGAATTGGCAACATGGGAGGAAAAAGAACCAGAACTTCCCAGGCCCTGCTTTTTTTCTTAAAAATACTTTAAAAGGAAAATTTGTTTGTATTTTTTATTTACATTTTATATTTTTGTACATATTGTTAGGGGTCAGCCATTTTTAATGATAACGGGTGACCAAACCAGCCTTCAGAGCGTTTTCTGTCCTACTTCAGACTTTACTTGTGGTGTGACCATGTTCATTATAATCTCAAAGGAGAAAAAAAACCTTGTAAAAAAAGCAAAAACAACAACAAAAAACCAATCTTATTCCAAGCATTCCAGTAACTTTTTTTGTGTATGTACCTAGCTGTACTATAAGTAGTTGGTTTGTATGAGATGGTTAAAAAGGCCAAAGATAAAAGATTTTTTTTCCTTTTTTTTTTTTTTTTTTTTTGTCTATGAAGTTGCTGTTTATTTTTTTTGGCCTGTTTGATGTATGTGTGAAACAATGTCCAACAATAAACCGGAATTTTATTTTGCTGAGTTGTTCTAAAAAAAAAAAGAAAGAAATTTAGGGGATTCTATATCATTGAGGATGCTTGTAAACCAACCTCCTCCCATTATAGCCATCTTCATTGGAGAAATGTTTGATTTCATTTTGATTATTAAATTTCTTTTCATGTGTTTATTATTTCTATGTCTTCTTTGGAGAAACGTCTAGTCAAGTTTATTTTATCTTTTAATAGGATGTTAGTTGTTGAGTACCAAGAGTTATTTTCATATTCTAGAATCTTCTTAAATTTGCGAGCATCTTCCATGGGTTATCCTTTCATGTTGCTGATGAGATCTTTGATGATGTGCTTAAGAAGCTATTGCCACGTCCAAGCACGTATGTTCACATTCACCGTATCTTCTTGTCCTTGGACAATACCTACCAAGTCTATCATTATGCTTTTTACATTGAAGTGTTTGGTGTGATAATTAATTATAATGTCTTATTTTTGGATCAGATTTTTCTGGCTGTCTTTTAATTTTTATTCATGATTTTCAAAAAATTGTACCCTATAAGTAGGATAAACTAGATTTTTTTTTTAGAAAGGCAATCTGATCGGCAAATTTAAACTCATTTTCATCATATAATTTTATTCCTTTTGGGAACCCAGATATTTTTTATTAATCCATAGTGCCATTCTGATAACATCTGGAATTCTATTTCTGGATCATTATGAATATACTTTTGATATTTTAACACACTCAGTGATTATTTACTTAAAGCATTCAGTATATTGTGTGATCTCCTGAATTGTGCTATCTCCATATATGCCCCTGGACTTGTTTCTTTTCTTGCTAAGAATATTCTTTCCATGAGTATTTCCAAAGACAGGTTCTCTATTATCAACCCTGCACATTTTTGTGTTACTGAGTATGTCTTCCTCTCCTCTTCCTCCCTCCCTCTTTTCTAAGACAAGATCTCACTATGTAGCCCAGGTTAATCTTGAACTGTCAGTCCTCCTGCTTAAGCTTTTTGAGTGCTAGGATTACAGGCATGTGGCACCATATTTAGAAACGTTTACTCTTAAATGATAGCTTGGCTGGGTATAAGATCCCGGTTGTAAGTGTTCTACCTTTGGCTCTCTGAGCATAGTTTCCTTATGTCTTCCCAGGGCTGCTGATGAGGAAATGTTCATCATTCTGCTTCTTTTTATCCTATCCAGAATCAACTTGTATTCTGTAAGTTATTAGAATTATCTCTTAGTCTTCATTCACCTTAAATTTTACCTAAACAAGTTCAGATACTGTTGTTGAAATTATCTAATCCTGATCAGGGGTTTCTACCCCCGTCTTTTATCACTTAGCTCCCAATAAAAGACACACACAACCTTTATATTTGCAATAAGCCTTAATCAGCACTAGAGCTGGGCAGATGTCTACCCTCTGTGCTATTAGAATCTACTTTCCTATTGTATAACTTTCCCAGATTATTTCTTACTATGTTTCATCTGGGACACCCTTAACTTCAATAGGACAGCCCTCAGGGCCACATTTTTTTTTTGGCTCACCTAAACCATGATGGCTTCTCCTTCCTCGTCCACCTTCTTCTTGTGGTTCATCTCCAACCTCCAAGCCCAGGAACCCTAAACCCCACCTATGTCTTGCTGCCCAGCAGTTGGCTGTCAGCATCTTTATTTGCCAATCAAAAATAACTTAGGGGCAAGGTCACACAGTGTCACTTGGGTCTACGTGCAGATTCTCAAGTCTCTGGGACAACCAGGTTTTTGCAGCCCAATATTAGCATTAGAATACAAGCAGAATCAAAGCAACTCATTACAAGATATTATTATTTTTTAAATATTAATTAACCTAGAAGTCCTACATGAGAAATTTCTATTGGGGGTGTTATACATTTACTTCGGTTTTGGAAACTTACTGTTGATCTGCCCAGATAATCTGTTATCCCATTTCCTTTTTTTTTTTCAGCACTTCTGCATGCTACCACTGAGCTACAGCCCCTGCACTATTAGACACTCCTTCTGCTTGGCACTCTATTCCAATCAAACATAAATTTTATTTAACAATTCCCATGTCTTTATCACTTCTGAGGTCTGCTTGGAACAAATGCTGCTGTACTTAATATTCTGGCCCAGTATTTTCCCCCTTGGCTCCAACTCAATCCATTTACTGAGCTCTTTAACAAACTACTTTCATCTCCAGTGCGATGGGTAATTGTGCGTCATCTTGGCCAGTATAATACTGCCCAGTTGTTTGGTCCAATACTTGTCTAGATACTACTGTGAAAATATTCTTACAGATGTGCTTAATGCTCTTACAGATGTGTTTAATGTTTATTGCAGTTGACTTTCAGAAAAGATCATCTTTAAAAGTGCGAGCATCCAGGGCGTGGTGGTGTGTGCCTTTAATACCAACAGGTGGATGTTTGAAGATTCAAGGTCAGCCTGGTCTACAGAGCAAGTTCTAGGCTAGCCAGGGCCTCATGGTGGGACCGTGTCTCAACTCCAAACCCTCCATGTGGACATTCATTTAGGGAAAGCCTTAGGAGCAAAAACTGAGGTTTCCCAGAAAAGAAATTTTTTTTTTCGTGAGAATAATAGAAATTCTTGCTGTGTTCTCAGACTGTGAACTTTGAACTTAAGGCCCAATTCCAGCTTCTGTTTGAATTTCTAGCCTGCCTAGCAGTCAGACTTTGGACTTGCCCTTGTGCATACCCATATGAACAAACTTTAAATCTGTTTGTCAATCTATACACACAGACACACAGACACGCACACACAGACACATACACACCCACACACAGAAACATGTATCCACACACACTCACACATATAGACATACACATAGAAATACATACACACACATGTACACACACATTCACACTCTCACACACAAAGACACACAGAGAAACATGTATATACACACTTACACATTATAGACAAACACATAGAAGTACATACACACACTCATGTACACACATTCACACACAGACACACAGACACACAGAGAAAGAGAGACACATATACAATCACATTCAGAGAGAGACAGAGAGACAGAAAGACAGAGAGACAGAGAGAGAAGAGACAGAGGCAGACAAAGTATCAGCCCTCCATCTACTCATGCCCTCAGTACACAGATTTAACCAAAAGCAGGTGAAAAGCTTTGTGAGGAATAAATAAGCATCACTATTGAATACATGTGGATTTTCTGCCTTTTTATTCCCCAAATAGTAAGTAGAACAATTAGTTACATAGCACTGTCTTCCTTTTTTTTTATTAAAAGTTGTTGCACAAAATAATGTTTTGGGTGCTGGAGAGATAGATGGCTTAGTGTTTAGAAGTGCTCGACACACTTCCAGAGGAAGAGTGATCATCCAGATTGAGCCAAATAACCATGGATCGAACCCTCTGAGACCATGAACAAAGGAAGTCAGTCTGTCTTTATGTTTCTTTCTCCATCATTTGATCAAAGCAATGAGAAAAGTGACTAACAGGCCTCTCCAAAGCGTTTCCCTGGAGGCAGCTCTCTGGACAGCTCTTGGTTCAGCAATGCTGGCCAGAGTGAAGCTGTTTCTGTACAGATGAGAATGTCTGGCTGTGTGCTTTGTATCAGTGTAACGCCTGGGCTGTTCCTGCTACAGGTCGGAGCCTGGAGGACTGCCCAGTGAAGCCCTGATGCTGTGAGGTATAATGGTATCTAGGGAGCAGAAACAGTTTCATCACCCTGATGAAGCCTTGTAGCTGCAAACAGTCAGGAGTAGAAGGGTTTAGAGCAGGTGTCTCATGTGCTTTTCAAGACTCTAATGATATCAGTGACAATCACAACTGATTTGTATGAAAATGTGATTTGTACAGGGTTGTGTGCTAAATGTTTCTTTTTAGGTTATTTATTTATGTCACACCAAAATGATGAAATGGTCATCATGATTGTATTAGACAAATGTCAGATCTGAAAACTAGAAAGATTGATGGCTCTGGGTTGCACAGAGAGCAAGTGGCCAAGTTGGTCCAACTGACTTGGGGAGTCTTGTGCTTGCCAAGTGGTCCCGTGGCACTCGAAACTGCATCTTTAGTTTGAGAGTGGACTGGCTATGACAAACCAGCCCAGGTCAGCCATGGGGAGATGTGCTTCACTCTCCTGTGAATCGCTTACTTAATGGGCCTTCATTGGCACAAGCCTCTGGGTCTGGAAAGTCATGGAGAAATACCTAGCAGGTTCCATTTCTCCTGCAGCCATTATTGGCAGTTTGCTTGTGGCCTTTGGTTTCACTTTCCTGTGGCAAAGGACCTAGGTACACGAAGCAGGATAAAGGTAGCTGTGGGAGGTCTTCAGGTCAGAGAGTGAAATGGCAAGATCCCTACGGCCACAAGGGAGGCTCAGAGATCCTGGTAAGGATCTGCTTGTCCCGAGCCTTCAGTGTGTGTGAGGGGGAGAGCTGCACTTGGTTTTTCTTTTGGTGTTTGATATTTTCTTCATCTGAGTCTGATGATCCTGAGGCCGAGTTTTAGGTCTGTTTTTGTTTTTGTTTTTTTTTTTGTTTGTTTTTGTTTTTCTTATATATCTGTGCTTTTCCTTTCTGAAGTAGAATGAAAGCTTGTCTTCAGCTAAGCATCCTTTCCATCTCTGGTACATCTGGGTTTATATAGAGAGAAATGGAATCTTGAACTCTTTATTTATATCAATATCAATATATATCAATATCAATATACATCAATATGTCAATATATCAATCAATATACACACATATGCATATACATCATATACATATATATTCATATGTATGTATATGTGTATCAATATACATACACACATATACATACATATACATACATATACATACATATATACATATATGCGTACACACACACACATATATATATTCCTTTGGCTATTTTGAGAACCTGGCAATGCCATTCTGTGCATTTTTTTCTTTGAACCATAAATTTTATT